TTTCGGACACAAAGGCGTCAATAGCGGGGCCTGCATAAGCCGATGATATTACGAATCGCTTCGGCTTCTGGTAACGAACTAGCTGAGGCCATGACGATCGGTACGATACATGAAAGCGGGGGTGGTGAATCGGAGGCTGAACGGGAAGAGTTTCGAGGCGATGCTTTCCGGCAGTATATTGGCAGAGGGGGAGACGGAGAGCGGCGGCTGCCATGTGTTAGTGGAGTGGAAGTGTGTGAGTCAAACTGGATGCGGGAGGCAGAAGCGACAGTTCCACCTGAATTTACTCACCTAAGAAAAATGAAAAATTGAAAAATTGTACGGAGTCTATTAATCTATTTTTGCACTCGATTTTGTCTATAAAGAGAAACTTAGGGCCCGTTTACTTTCAAATTAATGAGGTGAATAGATACGTTGACTTATTCGCTCAGTTATATAGTCGTGTTTATTTACGACTTAACATTAAATGTGACTTATTCGCTCAGACATTTTTGACTTAATAGATTCAGCTCACTTTTAGCTATCCTTATCGTTCAGACATCTTCCATTTAATTATCGCTCCCTTCTAACCTTGGCTTCTCCTTCTATATTTCATCCCTTGCACCAGCCTTCATCACCAACCTTCTTCATCATTTGATTTCAGTGTCGACATCAAATTCTTCTCCACCTTTCTTCATCACCTGATTTTAGCGCCAGGCTTCTTCATCACCTTTGGGTGAGTGCTTCACTGAACGTCCAGGGTAAGGGTTGGGAAGGATCTGTGAGGTACTTATTTGGTGGCTTACCGATCCGCCGTCCGCCCAGAGCCTGATTCGGCGATTTCCGGTCTCTAAAAACTGAAGTCTGAATTTGTCTTCGAATCCCTGAGACCCCGATTCACTAATCACTATCAACCTATCTGGTTATCGTAATCCCTAATTGAGCACTTTTGTATATTCTATCAATCTTCCGTCAATTACTTGTCTAAATTAATTTGTCACAACTTTGCTCAGTTTCTCTTTACCGACTTAACTTTTCATGGCTTTGTAGCTTTTACTTTTTATGAATTATGAGCTTTTTAACTATTTTATTTCAGACATTTATTCTCAATACTCTTATACTCCGTATTTAATAAACTAGCAGGGGACTTTCTCAAAAAAAAAACTGGCAGGGGATCGGAGTGGGGGAAGTGGGGGACTAAGGACTGCTAGTTTAATTGTTTGAAAGTTAAAACTTTCTGCTATTTGTGTCTTTAGACTTTAGTTTTAGACTTTCTTGTGTATGAAAGCCACTGTTGTTATTCACATTGATCACTATATGGTCGTTTCCATTGTTCCGTTGAGAATGGGTAACCCCATTGTACATTCCAATCATAGCCATTTGCATTCTAATCATTCAGGTTGAGGTGATTCTTCATTGTACTCAACATCATCATTGTATCCATTTATCAAAAAATCTGAACACTTTTTCCAATAAATCTAGTGAAGGGGATCTTTAATAATAGTGTTGTGATTGTTTTATACTTTTATATTAGGAGATGAGTCATGTGCATCTTTTTTGTAGTCGTATTGCAGATTCAAACACCGAAGGAGGACAAGTTGAAGATCCAGAACGTGAAGAAGAAGAAATGGATGGAAACACAATGGGCTAATTTAGTAGAGTAGAAGTATATTGTCTAAGATATTTTATAGATGTAGTTATGAAATTGGAAGCTTGGACCGATTGTAGTGCTTGTACTGTATTGGGATTATTAAGACCCGCATTCTTATTCTGTTAAGTTTGAATGGATGCTTGATTAAAAAATATGGTTTTTTATCATTGTAGTTTTTAGTTTTTAATTAAATTTGAAATATGCCTGATTTTAGTTTTTAACTTGTTAATTTGTACCACATATTATCATTTGAACTTAGTATGTTGTCATAGTATTTTTGAACTATTGTCATCGTATTTTGTGATTTTAATATGTTATCATTGTAGATTCATATTATATTATATTTTTTGCACTTAGAATGTCAACTGGAATAGCAAAAGTAAACATATAATATATGTTCAACACTTATCATAAATAGAACTCAGGAGGGTAAATTAGTCATTTGATCTAATTCAGACTACACATTCAGCACTCAAAGTAAACAACTTGTTATTCTACTGTGACTTAATACGGATATACGTCTTAATCCAGACGGGAATTAATGAAAAAAAAGTAAAGAGTCCCTTAAATTGATATATCATTCACATAGGAAGTAAAGAAATAAAAGGACCTTGATCAACCGTCAACTCTCGAACCAAATTTAGAGTCAATCAACTTCAAAGAGACAATATGATTCGATGATTCTGTAATGGGCATAAATAATCCAAAGACTGTCAAAGCAGACCTCTCATCACTCAATCCTAATGTTGAAGTCTTACAACAATACAAATAAACAATGTCATGCAGTTCGAAATAAAAACACAAACAAAATAAAACGGAATGAAAATAGAGTTCACTCGTTTTCTTCGAAACCCTAGATTCTCCAGCATTCCATGGTGGTGGTTCAGGAGGGGGAAGAGCCAGCACTTCTACAGCTTCTTCCTCACCATGCCTCTTATTCATCATGTTCTAGGCCAAGCCTTCACTTTCGCCACCAATCACAGATGACCTTGAATCCAGATTTGTTCCAGCTTTTAACCTCAAGATTCACCCATGACCTTCACTCGATGGTGCCATCTTGTCTCTATGTTGCACGGATACGGATACCTCGATACACTGAAACACGAATACGGGTACGGTGTTACGACAACTTCAAAAGTTATAGGACACGGGTACTGGGGTATATTTATAAATAATAATAATATAGGGTACAATTTGAAAATATATAATACAGAGGTCATAAATAAAATAATAATGATACCATAAATTAGCAACTATAATCAAATTTGAGAGATTAGACTGAAAAACTAAAATATTGGTATTTCGATTTAAGTTTAAATAATATTTTTAGTTCTATATTTGCATTTACATTTAAGTCTTTTAACAAGATTGATTTCAATTAAACTCATCAAGCGACAAATTGACAAATTATAGTATTTCAATATTTTCCATACTCCCGAAAGAATCTTTACTAATGTTCCACATCTTGTGGTCGCTTGGGCGGCTACTAAATTTTTGTCATGTTGTGTATGAAATCAAAGCTATAGGGTTACATACAGGTATCAGTTCACGGATATGGGTATCGGAAGTATCTATATTTTTAAAAATAAGTCCAATACTTTTATTAAATTATGGATACGGACTCAAAACGTACATGATGCGTATCGGTGAGTATCGGTATCAGAAACGTATCAGGTACGCAGATACGGCATTGGGGTAAAGTATCGGTGCACCATAGCTTGCTATTCTTATCTATGCTTTGTGTTCGCACCAAGAAACTCGTCGTAGGGGAAAATCCCAAACGAAAGAGCCGCCCAATCGATCAGATCGACGGAAAAGCTAAAACTCTAAATAGAGGGAGAAACGGAAAATTGTCATTGTACACGTCCATTGTGCAAAGTCATTCTGGATGAGTTTACAAAACAAAAGTCATTCCCGAGGCCAATTAAGATTGAAATTTTCTAGTTGGTATATTTTATTCTCGTCTAATCTGGTATGAATTAGTATGTTTTGATCTGGAGGATGTCCGATCTCTATGTATTTTATGACTGCTGAAACCTTATCTGGTCTGATCTGTTAAAGTCTAGTCTAGGTTGTTTAATTGTGATCTCATTTGGTCTTGTTTGTGATTGAAATAAGTCCAAATAGAAACCTCCTTACTCTTGTATAGTAGCTTTATTTCTTTGAATTCAATAGTTATTCGTGTCGAACTTTGATCAATTGTATATTTTTGTAGTAAATTATATGGAAATGTTATTTATTAAAAGTACTCTCATATGAGTATAAAATTTATAACTTTCGTAATATTACTTGTTTCCTTCTTAAATAAGTGCAACATGTTAAAATTTACACTATTTACATGCTCTACTTTGACTACGCTTTATTTATTAATATATTAATAAATTATTATTTAAAAAAATTGTCTCATTGTAAATTATCAAAATTTGGTGTTTTAAGCTTTTTACTAATAGAGGATATCTATCTATACTTAATTAACTCAACTAAGTCATCTCCCGCCTCAAACCTTTTGGGATATTTTCGTAAATTCAGTTCTGATTATCCCTTCCTCAGTCCCGCAATTACTCATTTGTTTCCTTCGCTCATGTTTCAGAAGCTTTGGCTACTCCTGCGTTTCCCCGCGTAAGGCTTCATAGTTTTTTGCTACTCAAAGTGTCGGCCTTTTATACACGCGAGTGGCAACCTACATCAACTCTACTTATTCTTCAGGTTCCTATTTTTTCATTCATAAACATAATAGTTTTCTACGAATTTCGCCTAGCCTTGAATTGAATTCAAATCTTTGGTTATTATTCTTTCTATCGCTACTTAGAGTTGGTAATATTCTGACAAGAGGAATTTCTACTCCAAATTTGGATTCCAATGGGAAACATAAGATTTTTTACAATGAAAGATTAGGGTTTTAGTTCATATTTTATTTCCATATCATACTCATCATTTCTATTTTCATGTTTTTTTTTTCAATTGTCACTTCAATCTTTCTCTTCATCCCAACTAACTCATATCTATTCCAATTTGGTGCTGAAGAAGAGGGGAGCCTCGAATGCTAAATGCAGGAGAGGTTTGATGCTCCATCAGCTTTAGGGGTAAGCTCTCATGATTTATTTTCTTTAAAAACTTAACTAAGCTATTCTTTCTCACCATATTAAAAGGCATCAGAATCGCTTAAAAGACATAAAAGTGATAGAGTAGTTGGCGTTAATATCCTTTTTACTTTTTTTTAAATCAAATTTTGCTTTGTACAGAAAAAATACGATTCTTGTGTATCTTAAAGGTAGATAATCATTTATGATGAGATGACTTGAGTGTTTTAGCATCAAAAGGACAAGGTGGGGCCATATTTTGCTATCATTGTGAAATGAGCCAAAATAGAGCCATGTCCTTCCCCCCTTAGCCATTCATTCGACCAAGGCATCCAGGAAAGAGAGAGAAGCTCAGCAAAAACACCATCTCCATTGCCATTTTCGAGCCTAAGCCAAGGAGGAAGAAGGAGGGGAAAAGAGAAGAGAAGAGATGGGGATTAGAGAGGAAAACTTGAGGTTAACAAGGTAATGATTCCATTAACCCCATTCCTTTTCCTTAATATTCTCCTATGATTTTATAAATCATATTTCATACCCCTAGGACTGTTCTACATGTTTAGAAGTGTAAAATGAGGGGTTGGAAGGTAGTTCTAAGTCCAAGAACGGACTTACAAGCCAAAGTGACCGGTTCGCCGGAAAATAACCTTTTAGAGGTTATTTGTATTAATATGGGTTTTGTGATGATAAAACCTTGTTATTGACTTGCCTAAGGTATTCGAGGAACTTTCACGGAGTTGAAAGGGTCGCCGGAATTGTCGTCGGAGTTCACTGAAGTTCGTCGGAGTTTCACCGGAGCTAAATCGGTAAGGCTAGAACTTCATAAGCATCATTAAGGTGAGAAGACGGTTTTATGCTTTATAACTTTTGCGTGAGGCATGAGATTACCTAAAGTAATCAAGGATATGTATTATGGAATGACTAAAGATAATCAAGTATTTGCTTATGCCATGATTATATATAAAACATAGTTGAAAAGCATGTTATATGTGTTTGATGATTAAAAGGTGATAAATTATCATGTATGATGTTCCAGGGATCCAAAATGGTATTTTTGGATTAAGGACGTCAAGAAGTACATGTGTATGAAATTTCACGTTAATCGGACTTCGTTTAGGCGGTCAAACGGTCATTGACCGCCAAGACAAAGGTAATACCCGACCGGGTATGGGTGAATACCCGACCGGGTATTGATTAAAAATGGCTCCAGAAGCCTCTGCCACACTAGACCCGACCGGGTATGGGTATAGACCCGACCGGGTCTCAAGTAAATTTGGCTCCAGGGGCTACTGCCTCACCATACCCGACCGAGTAAGGTTGGATACCCGACCGGGTATTGGGTTATGCTCAAAACGGGCAGTTTTGAGTAGGTTAACGTGGGCCGTTGGGTGGGAACCGTCCACGTTGGTTACTAAGGATGTTTATATGACTATAGGGCTAGGTATTATCCATAGTTAAAGGAATGAAAGGTTAGCCATATCCAGGTTAGGGTTTTATAAGGAATAAGGTTGGGGTTGAGCATCCCCCGGGACAGTAAATGATCCTGAAACTCGGTTCAGGTTGAGCATCCCCAGGATGGTAAATGATCCTGAAACTCGGTTGGGGTTGAGCATCCCCAGGACGGTAAATGATCTTGAAACTCGGTTGGGGTTGAGTATCCCCAGGACGGTAAATGATCCTGAAACTCGGTTGGGGTTGAGTATCCCCGGGATGGTAAATGATCCTGAAACTTGGTAGGATATTATGAAGGTAGAACGTAGCTTGTGAGCTAGGTATCCGGGAAAGGAGTGAGATAAGTCAGGTAAGAACTTTATCTCTAAAGACTCTTTAAGGTAAATGACCTACTGGTTAAGTATTTTACGAGTATATATACAGTATGTATCATCGGGTGGATGAGAGACATCTATATATATGTATCACCCTATTTTTGGGTCTCGTGTCTGAAACATTAGTTATTCTTCATATAGTTTGCTTGTCACTAGTACTTCTATGGTGTACTAACCCCTCCGGAGGCCCTCACATTTTTCAGGTTAAGGCTAGAGTCCTACTACCTGCACCTTTGCCTAGGGTGACTGAGCAAGAAGGAAGATGTGGTTCGTGCTTCCATTCTTATTTAAAATTTATAAACTGCTCATGAATATTTGAACAATGTTTTCCTTTAAAACTGTTGGGGCCTGTGTGCTCATGTTTGCCACATGTGGCTAAATATCAAACATATTATTTCCGCATTTGTTTGATTATGATATTGATGTTGATTGTATGTGTTTACTAATCAGTTGGCAATAGAATCTATCGGACGCCTTGTATGATTCAATAAGGATGAACTAATGTTGTTCTTATCGGGTTGTACGACGGTTATCTACGTGGCTCGGATGCGGTCCGGGGCGTGACATATCACTTGTTCGGTGTTATTTTATCAGTAGCTAAAATACACCATACACCTTCTTTTTATCCCAAAAGTTCTATCTTGTAACCCGGTTACTGTAATAAGGGTAGATAGTAGACTTTTAGGAAAGCGTATTTAATACGTGACTAGAAGTGATATCTGGTCCAACCATATTTATATACCCTTATATTTTGCTATTTTATCCGCCAGTTCTAACAATCTAAAAGTTACTAATCCAAAAATATGGCAGCTACTCAACGCGATATCAAAACCAATTTTAAAAAATTGGAAAAGTTTGAAGGTGTGGAGTTTCGAAGGTGGCAGAAAAAGATGCATTTTTTGCTCACCACTTTGAAAGTGGTCTACGTGTTAAGCACTCCGAGGCCGCCCGAGAAAGAAGAAAATGAGTCTTTGGAAACAAGCCGCTGTCGCATAAAGTGGGACAATGATGACTATATCTGCCGTGGACATATTTTGAATGGTATGTGTGATTATCTTTTTGATGTGTATGAAAATGTTGAATATGCTAAAACGTTGTGGGAATCTCTAGAATCCAAATATATGACCGAGGATGCTTCAAGCAAGAAATTTCTCATTAGTAACTTTAATAGTTACAAAATGGTGGGTTCTCGTCCGGTCATGGAGCAATTTCATGAGATTCAACGTTTATATGATCAACTTTTGATTCATAACATGCATGTAAATGAAACCTTTGCGGTTGGTTCTATAATCGACAAATTACCACCTTCATGGAAGGAAGTGAAAAATAGCCTCAAACGCAAAAAAGAGGATTTGTCAATGGAGCAACTTGGTCGCTAACTTCAAATTGAAGAAGGCATTAAGTTGCGTGAAGGTGACAATGGTAAAAAGAACGACCTTCCAATTTCCTCTATAAATGTTATGGAGGAGGGACAATCAAGTGGGACCAAGAAAAATAAAAAACGTCTCGGGAAATTCACCAAAGGTTCCAAGTTTCAAAAGAAGCCGAAAGATAAGAAAGTAGGCTCTTGTTGGGAATGTGGTGGTCCACATTTCAAGAGAGACTGTCTGAAGGTGAAGAAGAAGAAAGTCCAACCGAACGGCCATCCAAACGGTGGCCAAGACAACCAAGGTCATAATCTTTTTGTAGTTACAAATGATGTTGATAACAACATGATTTTTGTAGCTATGCTTTCTGAAATTTGTGTTGTGCAGGATGATGAATCTTGGTGGATCGACACCGGAGCAACAAGGCATGTATGTAAAGATAGGAAAGCTTTTAAGACTTTAAAAGAGTTGCAAGAGGGGCCGATCTTATACATGGGAAATGACTCTACTGTGCAAATTCAAGGAATTGGGCAAGTAGAGTTGGAATTCTCTTCCGGAAAGAAATTAATTCTTAATGATGTGTACTTTGTACCACAAATCCGGAAAAATCTTGTCTCCAGTGGCATCCTAAATAACTTTGGGTTTAAACTTAGCTTTGAAGCAAATAAGTTTGTTTAATCTAAGGGTGGTGTATTTGTTGGCCAAGGTTTATATTGTAATGGCATGTTCAAACTAAGTGTTGTAAATAAAGTTGTTAATCATGTTTATATGGTTTGTGATTCTTCTTTGTGGCACAATAGGTTATGTCATGTTAATTATCGTAGACTTAGTGACATGTCTAAAGTAGGTTTAATTCCTCCTTTTAATATGAACATGGAAAAATGTAGAACTTGCATGTTAAACAAAATCACTAGAAATTCTTTTCAAAATGTTGAAAGAAAATCCAACATGCTTGAATTAGTGCATAGTGATTTGTGTGATTTCCATAGCACTCCTTCTTTTAGAAACAAAAAATATGCAGTCATATTTATTGATGATTGCACAAGATATTGTTACATATACCTTTTATTTTCAAAGGATGAGGCAATGGATAAATTTAGTGTTTTTAAAATGGAAGTTGAGTTATAAACTGGAAAGAAAGTAAAAAGGCTTAGAACTGACAAAGGAGGAGAATATTATGAGCCTAAATTTTTGGAATCCGTTGGAATAATCCATGAAACAATAGCCCCTTACACGCCACAACAAAACGGCATAGCTGAAAGAAAGAATAGAACTTTAAAAGAAATGGTTAATTCCATGTTATCTAATTCAAGCTTAAGTAATGGATTTTGGGGTGATGCTATGTTAACTGCTTGTTATATTCTTAATAAAGTTCCTAACAAGAGAAATAAAATAACCCCATATGAATTTTGGCACAAGAGAACACCCCAACTAAGTTATCTTAGGGTATGGGGTTGTAGGGCAATCGTGAGATTATCAGAACCTAAACGGAAAACGTTGGGTGAAAAGGGAGTACAGTGCATATTTATTGGATATGCTGAACATAGTAAATCATATCGATTCTATGTTATTGAACCGAATGACTCAATTGCGGTTCATACCGTTATTGAGTCTAGGGTTGCTCTTTTTGATGAGAAGCGGTTCACTTCTATTCCAAGGCCAAATGATGTTGATCTCAGTTCAAGTAATTCAAATTTTCATGAACTGGAAAATGATCATGAAAATGAGCCTGAAATTAGGCGGAGTAAGAGGGCTAGAAAAGAAAAGTCATTTGGTCCCGATTTCCAATTATATTTGGTTGAAGGATCAAGAGAGACCCTCGTAACTCAAACACTATATTGTTATAGTGTTGAGGAGGATCCTAACTCTTTTGAGGAGGCAATGAGATCACAAGATGCTTCCTTTTGGAAAGAGGCCGTGAACGATGAAATGGATTTAATCATGGGCAATAATACTTGGGTTCTAAGTGATTTACCATCCGGTTGCACACCAATCGGTTGTAAATGTATTTTCAATAAGAAAAGGAAAGTATACAGTACCATTGACAAATTTAAAGTTAGATTGGTTGCACAAGGCTTTAAACAAAAACATGGTATTGATTACTTTGATACATATGCACCGGCAGCCAGAATAACTACCATAAGATTGTTAATTGCTTTATCATCCATTCACAATCTTGTGAATTGGAGGAGGAGGTGTATATGAAACAACCCGAAGGGTTTGTTATTAAAGGACAAGAAAAGAAAGTTTGTAAATTGTCAAGTCCTTGTATGGTCTGAAACAAGCACCTAAACAATGACATCAAAGATTTGATGAGGTGGTGTTAAAAATGGTTTTAAAATAAACCAATCAGACAAGTGCGTATATAGAAAAATTGATGAACATGGTAACGGTGTCATTTTTTTGTCTATATGTGGATGACATGCTCATATTTGGCACTGATTTGAGGCAAGTGAAAAAGACGAAAGCTTTCCTCTGTTCGAACATCTCCATGAAAGATATGGGTGAAGCGGAAGTTATCCTTGGATTTAGGATAATAAAGCAATGTGATACTATCACCTTAACACAATCTCACTATATAGAGAAAGTGTTGCAGAGATTTGGGAGTTTGGATTGCTCACCGGTCTCCACTCCTATGGATCCTAGCTGGAAATTAGTTCCAAATAGTGGGAATGTTGTATCAGAGCAAGAATATGCTAGGGTAATTGGGTGTCTGATGGATGCAATGACTAGCACCCGACCAAATATTGCATTTGCGGTAGGCAAGCTAAGTAGATATACTAGTAACCCTAGTATATTTCATTGGCAAGCCTTGAGGCGAGTGCTGAAATATCTAAAGAAAACAATAAGCTACGGCTTATGTTACAAGAGTGAACCTTCTATATTACAAGGTTATACAAATGTAAGTTGGATAACTAATCAAGAGGATTATTCATCCACAAGTGGGTGGTTATTCCTTCTTGGAGGAGGTGCTATATCATGGGCATCTAAGAAACAAACTTGTATCACTGACTCTACCATGGCTTCGGAGTTTATAGCTTTAGCATCAACTTGTAAAGAAGCGGAATGGCTAAAGGACTTGGTGTCAGAAGTCCCAATATGGACTAAACCTATGGCTCCGATATCAATCCATTGTGATAGTGCATCAACTCTATCGAAAGCTTATAACCATGTGTACAATGGTAAGTCAAGGCACATAGGAGTGAGACACAGCTATGCGCGGGAACTTATTAGTTCTGGAGTTGTTGTGGTTGATTTTGTATGAACACGTGTGAATTTGGTTGATCCGTTTACAAAAGCGATGCCAAGGGACATGGTGTACAAAACGGTAAAAGGGATAGGGTTAAAGCCATTGGAAAATAATCACAACTGAAAGAAAGCCCAACTCAACGTCTAGTACAACGCTAGATCTTGAGTTCAATGACGATGAGTAAGTCACTCCGTGATTGAAGCACTTTTGAATAATAACCATCCCGAGGTAAGTGCTTAGATATGCAATGTGTAATGAGGTTGACTATGTCTTAATAGATCTTTTGATAAAGTGTTTGATTGCAGAACACGGTTTGAAAAGGTCTACCTATGTGAGCTTATTCACCAAGTTTAAGGCTTTACTTGTTGGAGCTCATGAATGGATATGGACACAAGGCCGTTAATTGTGTCAAGTTTCTAAGTGAAATTGTATAGAGATTTATGTGTGTAATATCTTCAGTATTTCACAGAGGTTATATAGTTCAAAGCTTAGTCTACTATTATGATCTGAAATACTGTAAACAATATTGCACTAAATGAAAGTTCAATCTTTACGACACTTTCAATTATGCATAAATCTTGATAAGTGGTTGACATTCACATAATTTCCATGTTTATGTTTATGTTTTTAATTAGTTTTGATTGATTGTTACTTTGGAAATTACACACTTTTGGTGTAATAGTTTAGTTTGTAAAATACTTGTAAATTGTTTAGATTAGGTTTATTCTGAGCTCAAACAGGTCCATGATCACTCAAGGGACCGTTGGTGAAACCCCAAAAGTGGAAGGAAGGTACAAAATCACAAAAGAAATAGAGGATCCTGGTTTTTGGTCTGTACCCGGTCGGGTATGACCTATACCCGATCGGGTACCTTGTTGAAATATCAAATCGGGTCGGATCCGGGACAAGGCAACATGTAGGAAGATATTTGACCACATTCGAGTGTCATACCCGATCGGGTGACCGACATACCCGATCAGGTATGTCCCTCTTTTCGAGCTTCCGGGAAGCCACTGAAGGTACCCGATCGGGTGCCCTTGATGCCCGATCGGGTACACACCCCTGCATGCTCCAAAAGCCTATAAATACCCCTCTTTCCTTCCCAAAGAAAATCACCAATTCACATATACTTCTTAGCTCAGTTTAGACAAGCTCTTTCTTTATATTTTCTTCATGTTTGGTCTCCAAATGAGGAGCTAAACTCTTCCATCTTGGTTTTGCTACTTTGAAGCTTAATGAATTTGTAAGTTGTGAGTTATTTTCTTTAATCTTCTTCCTTGAATATTAATTATTTCCTATTCATATCTCATATTAATATTTTGAGCATTACTTAAAGGATAAACTAGTTTTGTTTCATATATTAATTATTACTAGAGTCAATCGATTAATACGCTTGTTATTAATTCGGTTCTTTCACGGTAGTAAACTTGGATTATTAATGCATGTGTCTCATGGTTAATAATCTAAAGGGAATTAATTATGTTGATTAAACCAATAAACCGCTTGTGTTGAGGTTATCAATCTCAATCATTTTCATCTTGATTTTATTGTTAGTATCGAGTTGATATACGACGCGTGTTCTATATTAACTCGCTAGTAAGTTTTATTAATGAATGCGTCTCATTATTAATAACTACCCTCAATGAACTGGATATACTCCTCGATTGAGTATTCGAGAGGAAGATAGTTAAAGATATAACCGGGATCGACGAACATTTCATTAAGTGGATAAAAGCAAAACAAAGTCTTCATCTCTATTAAAGTAAACCACATAAGTCGTTCATCTTAGTGTTTAAATACATTTAAATTTATCAACAATCATAAAATCCCCCCTTGTTACTAGTTACATAAAAGTTAAATATTCCTTTCCCTGTGGATACGAACCTTACTTCAATATACTACGTATATATGTTGTATTGTATTTATTTTGAGTGCACATTACGACAAAGTGCACGTCAGTGGTCTATATGGCAAGGATTGAGCATGTTTATTTTCAATAAATGGAGGAGGATTGTTGGAGATTTATTGAAAATAAAGCTCAATTGTTAATTTACATGGTCCTTAATCATTTTATAAATAAATGATGTGAATTATTAAAATGATGTTATTTAAGTATATTGATTATTATTATTATTATATATTATGAGAACACTTTTGTGCACATGTGGTCTCATATGATTATAATAATATTACTTTCAAATACAAAATATTAAATTTGCATTTCAAATACGGAATATTAAATTTGCTTTTTAATGGCAAATTTTATATTATAAAATATTTTAAAAGAATGTACATGTTCTTTTGGAAATGGAGCATCGTTTCATTTTGATAGGCTTAACCGCCATTCATCCTTTGAACGGATGTAGTACCTTTTCAATATGTCATGATTTTTATTTATAAATAGAGAGGACCATGCATGTTGGAGGATATACGGCAAAATCATTTTGTCAATATTCTCTAATTGCTTTACTCTATTACTCTTATCTGCAGTATTAGTAATAAAGTATTTAGATCACTTTATATATATATCACTTGTTCGGTGTTAT